CCTTTTCAAGGAGTCTATCCTCATTGTGAAGATGCGGAAAGGCCAACGCCTCAAGTTGCGCGCATTTGCTAAGAAGGGCTTCGGAAAGGAGCACGCCAAGTGGAATCCCACAGCTGGCGTTGGCTTCGAGTACGATCCGGACAACGCGCTGCGCCATACCTTCCTACAGAAACCGGAGGAGTGGCCTAGATCGGAGTACTCAGAGCTGGAACCAGACCAGAGCCAGGCACCCTACGATGCCTTTGGGAAGGTTGGCAATCTCCCCCTTTTGTTTGTCTTAACCTGTTAACCAGCTAGCCAGCTGCTAGATTTATAATATTCCTAAGACTTTGCTCTTCTCACCGTAGAGCCTCATAAGCCCATAAGACAAGGGTGTTATCGCCCCTCCCTCCACCGACCCTTTCTACAGTACGGCGAAAGAGTCCTGCAAAATGTCGAAGTTTGCGGAAGATTGATAACCGGCGTTAAAGCATATACGAAAACCTAGAAATAATAATGAGCAACCTCAGGCAAATTTGTCATCTAAAAGAAATATAAAAACGAATGATTGTTTGTTAAGAAAAATAAAACCTTAATAACATTGCCAATACAAGCGAACATCCGTGTCCCAGAAAGCAATTGAGAAGAAGAAGAAGACTCGATCGCTGGGACAATATGTTTATTCGCTACTCATGTCTCTGATGACGAATCCGCGCGGATGCCGAAACGTCAGGCGAATAAACATATTGTCCCAGCGATCGAGTCTTCTTCTTCTCGCCTTAATAACACTCAACTTCCTCCGACGTAAAAATAGCTATAAATTAGAACAATATATTAAAATTTTATTGTAATTTGAATGGCTAACCTTACCACTTTCTTTATGCAAAAATAACTTTTCCCTAGTCAAATATTTCAAACACATTGCCATCACTTAACTACAATTACTTACAGATTGTCCTTTAATTTCCGGCAAATTTTCGACGATTTTCTGTGTTTTCAAGCTTTATTTCATAAACACAGCTTCTGTTCGATGTTCAAAAAATGTGAGGCAAAAATGATTTGTAGGGCCCCTATAGATATCTATCCCCCCGCCCAGCTGCTTAAAGTATTTTGTGGCCAAACGTTTAAT